ATGATGTAGATAATTCTGAACTTGGATGTAAACCCTCAGTTGAAGGGCTGGCAGAGTACCACAAACTGACTGAACTAAAAGTGATTTCCCAAAAGATTTGTGCTCAGAAGGTACAGTTGCTGGCTGTCAGATAGCCACAAATGGCAAATATGAGAACAAAGATAGTACTCATTCATAAGTATTGTGTTTATTATGCATAGTATACAGTTAGTTAATAAATGGAAAAATGTCATATTTGTCATATTTGTAAGCACACCTCCATAGGTTTAGGAAAGGAAAATGCTCAGTTCAGAAATACTGTTTCGCTATTTAAAGGGTTTTGCTCATCCACTGCTTTCCTTCAGAAAACCACAAGCCATGTAGATCACAAGAAGCAAACAGTATCAAAATGACAAAACTATGTATGAGCTCTGTGTTATTCAAGGATACAAAATTTAGGAGGAACAGAATAATAGGCTAAATAATATTCTAAGTTGCTGTAAATTATCAGAAAGATATGTTAGAATCAGAATGGAAAAATGTCTAAACTTAGACATCAGTTTTCACAGAGATTGTTATTCGATAACAAGGGATATAAAAGGATACATGTGCTAGCATGAAACTCTGGATAATATCAGAAAAGGCTACTTCCAGTACCTGACACAGAACCTGGGGAGAAGATGGCTTTTAGGGAATTGTTACAAATTTCTCTGTCTACGTCATCTAGTTCCATGAGTTGCTGTTACAGATTTCCCATCTACATTTTATGTCATAAGATATGTGTCTGAACATGAGCTTCTCTCATTCTGTTTGAATTCAGACCTTTGGAAGCAAGATACTTGTTTCCATTAAAACTTTGCTGTGATCCAATTATAGGTGGCAGCTAAATAAATTCTAGCGAAGCCCCAGGAGACCTGATTGATGCAAGTTTTCAAGATGGTAAATACACACCAAAGTACAAGGGTTGTGGCCATTTTTATGAAGAGCCATGGAAGAGGCAACACTTTTTATATAGTATTTTAAATAATACACAATATATATAATAGATATTATACGTATAATGCCATATATTACATATTACATAAACCTATTGATTTTACTATTCAGCAAGGAATTCTGAAACATTAGTTCAATTCCCTCTTCATCTTGAGGGGAATGAAACCTGTACCTCTTACCTCTATTTGCCAGACTACAAAACAGCTTGGCAGGAATAAAAAGCTGGATTTCAGCAACCTCTGTGGTGAATGTCAGCCTTTGCACAACCAAGTAATCTGGCAAGACACAGAGCAACTACACAGGGATAATCTTATGCTCAGGACATTCATCTGGTTCTTTTGTCAGGATTATTTTTTATATAAAAACTGAAACTCCCTGGTCTCTTCCTATTCCTTGATGAATGCCCTAAACACAAGAATAACATGTGCTTCCTCTTGTTTGCTCTCCCGTGGTTCCAAGACCATACAGAGGGTCAGATTCTGTCAAAGGGAGGAGATGTGACCCAGCAGATGGGTGTTTGTGGCCAAAGAAGCACTCCTGCAGATAGAAGTCCAGATCTGTTTCTGTTCTCACCTGTTAAAATGGGCTAGTTTCAACAAGGTGCCTCCTCAGTGGTATTCATCTGGGAAGGATATTTCCTGGATATATTCAAATCTCACTGTTGACTATAAACATGCCATTGAGATGTTTGTCGGACACTTATTACACGCAAGACCCTGTTTTTAGGTCTCCACTAGGTCCTAAAGTCTTAACAAATTTTGTAAATGAAAACAATGTATCTTATTTAGATAGAAGTTCATTAAAGGAATTAAAAAGTAGGCAATGTTATTTTAAACTTAGGAAAGCTTCAATCTTGAAATGTAGATTTTGTCGTTATAATTTTTCCTACCAGTTGGAAGTAAGTGCAAGCACGTCTCCTTTTCTTTACGAGTGAGTCATAAATTCAATCTATTAGACTGAAAAGGACCCTATATGTTTCCTTCAAATTACAAAAGAAAAGACAGTTACTGACCACAGTATAATTGTATTGCTCTGTCTCCATTACTTAGCTATAAAAAGATACGTTCTAACACGCTTATCTCTTTGTTTCCAGGATAGCAGTCTATCTTGAAATTCGGCATTTGGACAAGAAAACCAGCAGAATGTGTAATTCAGAGGCCATTTGTGTCAGCTTTGTTTGAAATCCTGCTCTAAATCTGAATGACAGAGAATGAATGTGGCCTCCGTTCACATGACATGAGCTGAAAAGTTATGAGCATTAACAGCTTTACAGTCAGCTCCTTGAAACATGCAACTGCATTTTAGTAGGTTTTCTTGAAACAGTATTCCCTACATTTAATGCTTCATACCATGGCATTTTATACCACATTCATCCAGCATATCATATTCACACGGCACAGCACAACCACCAAAAGAAAAACAGAGGGAAAATAGCAGAAGAAAGTAAAAGTGTAGAGATAAGGCTTGAGGTGAGAAAATATGTTATATTACCCACAGCTTGGTATTCACTACCTTAATCTGGAAAGGAAGCATATTTAAATTTAAAATAGAAAAGTAATACTTAAAATCACATTTTAAATTTTCATATTGAAGTGCTTTTCAGTAGGTAGGTAGGTTCCTGTATTTAACAGTGTAGAATGAAACAGAATATTTATGAAGAATTACAAAATAGCCATTCATTGGTAAACTTATCTGAGCTCCTTCACAACAGAATCCATGAATTTTGTTTACACTGACATTTAAGATTACCCTTGAAAGTAACCTTTTTCCAGCTTGAGCTTTACAAATTGGTCTTCTCTGCCTACATCTTAACTTAGCATCTGCACTGCAGACCAGTGCATTTGCTTCTTAATCCTTCCCAGAAGCCCTCCATGAAAAAATGAGATTATTGCTATCTCTGCTTTCAAACTTGACCCTGATTATGACAGAAAAAAAATGAATAAAGGATGGAGGAATTTTGAACTTCTCTGGGTGAAGGGCTGCCAGGATAAGAGACAGGAGAGGGACATTTTACAAGCAATTAGTGATAAAACAAGGAGGAAAGATTTAGATTAGACATTGGGAAGAAATTCTTTACTGTGAGGGTGGTGAGGCACTGGAACAGGCTGCCTAAAGAAGTTGTGGATGCCCTACCTCTGGAAGTGTTGAAGGACAGGTTGGATGGGGCTTTGAGCAACCTGTCTCATGGGACATGCCCATGGCAGGGGGGTTGGAACTAGATGATCTTTAAGGTCCCTTCCAACCCAAATTATTCTATGATTCTATTACTCTGTGATGACACAAGTGAGTGGTATATACATTGCACAGCTACATACCCTAATACTCAGTTTTCTTAGGCTAACTCAGTTTCTAGCACAGGTGTTTAGCAGCTTTAGATTCATGTCAAATGCCATCACAGTAATTAAAAGAAAACTTCTGTCAATTCTGGAAGAATCTATACTTCCCACTATTTTAAGTTAATTGAAGACAGAACTGAATAGGATTTTAAGTATTACATTTGAGCTCTGCTAACACATCGCACCATTCTAGATTAAAAGGTGTTTATAGCTGACATGGTAAAAATCAGTAAAGAGATAAGCCATGAGGTAAACTCACCCATGCAGGAGAAATTTATGAACACTTTGAATTAAGCTCATTTTTTAAATTTAAATGCTATCCTATTTCAAAAACAGGTGGAAAAATTATAATAACAATAGTTGTATGCAGCCTGAAATAGTGTAACTTATTAAACAAAGTGCAGATAAGAACTTAAAATGTAACATAGCACAACAGATGTAGAATAAAACTACTAGCTTTAAGCCTATTTGAATGTTAATTGATGATGCATTTGAACAACCACAGAAAATAGTGGATATGTAGCCAATTAAAATTTAGGGAGAGCCTCTTGACTTTGCAATCATAAAAGTCCATTTCCTACTTTACTAAAATTGAGATAATCACAGAAAATGACAAATGTACAACACAATGAATCTACTCCCTACAAAACTAGACAATGAACACTTACAATGCAGAACCCTACACACTGATCAAAGTCTTTCACATCAAAGTTCTACCATAACAGAAGAAACACATTTTTGGAAGTGGACATCAACATGTAAAAAGAAAAATGTCTTGAGCTCATACTGTCTTCAAATGCAAACACAAGGTATCTCACCACAAATAAATCTTAAATATAAAAGAGAAAATAAAAATAAGTATCTTAATAGTCTCCCTCTCATTTGCCATTCCCAATGGATTGGCAATCAGCAAGATACAGCGTTTTTGATAGCTTTAATCATCTTCCACTACTCTCTGCTAGTTATCTCTATTGGAGAAGAAAACTTAGAAGAGAAATAATAATAGAAAGTAACAAACTGCCAAGATATGAAAGGACGGAAATATAATTGCTAAGGAAATCCTCTTTCATTTCAAATCTTTCTTTGAACTGGCTTATAAAATGACAGATAACATGTTCATGAAGAGAATATAATTTGAGTTTATTACCTCATCATAACTAGCATACTCAAAATTACATAGAATAATGCACAAAGAAATGCTATCCCACAATTAAGGAGATCTGAATCATATGAAGTACTTCATAATGATTTTCTCAGCCCAAACTGCTCTTTAGTCGTAGAGAGCTTTGCATATTTCCAAATTTTTCTTTTGAGTCTGTTTTTTCAGATTGACACTAGTTTCTAAAAATCTCGACTAATAACAGGTCAATAACCTGCTGCAGACAAGCAACTCATATTGTAACATAGTAGAAAAAGTTGTATTTCAGTGTTTCAAAACTGAAAAACAGAAGTTTACAGGAAATCTTTCCATAGAGTTTTAAATATTCACCATCAGCAATAAATAATTCATAATATATTTCCAAATCACAGAGCAATATATAATTTTCCTTCAAAACAGTAACTTGTCACACAAAACAGAAAAGAAGTTATTAGTAATTCTGTGTTGGAAATCATATGTTCAAAAAATGTGAATATCTACAGCAAATAATATTTACTTGTTAGATTTATGTTTTTACTATAAATTCTTACCTAAGCTGTTTAAAAGCTTCTGCTTTTACAAGTGGTGTTTCTACAGAGTGTTCAAAAAGTGCTCCTTCAGGCCCTGCAAAAAAAAAAAAAAAGAAAAATACTATAATGTAACAGAATGAAAAAAAAAAGTAACGGTTTTGATATGGAAATGTACATTAAATTCTTAAAGTGAAATCTAAAAAGTCTGAAGGTAGAGAAATTTTAAATTACTTGGGACAACAAAATAATAAGATTTGTGCAATGTAACTTCCATTACAGTCAATAGAGATAATTTAAATCCCCAAAAATCTTTGCAAATATTACAGTCCTAAATCATCATATTTATTTTTAGACTATTATATGCATATCAAAAATTCTGGCATATAGCTTCATCAAAGATTTACCTCTATTTATAGGGAGACTTGCTGAATATAAAATGGTATTTATGAACGCAAAATGGTAATGATTTTGGGATCAGACAGTTTACCTCTTGAAATAAGAGTGGTTTCATTCCAATGAGGAAGAAACAGTAGGCACCCAACCTTACTAGGAGCTTCCCCATTGGACCTGAAAATCTTCCAAGAGCATCCATTTCTGCTCTCCTGCTTATTAGCATTATTGTAGTATCACCAACTCAGTGACTATCTCCCACCTAAGCTTCACCAGGATCAGGGAACTTGCTGAAATAGTACAAAAGCCCTTCAGCAAAAGAGATGGCTCAAACAAGCATTGTGAAGATACTCATCAAAAATGGGAGTGGACTTCCTTAGGCTGAGTGATCTCCAGCTTTGAGGATTCCCATATCTGAGCACTTTTCAGGTGAATATGTAGCAAAGCAACATATTTTAATATATTATTATGATTTTATTATAATAACATTATAATATTAATATATTTTAATAGTTAGGATATTATACAAGGTGGCTTGTCTGGCTGCTCTGTCTGTTAGAATAGGATGCTGTTACCCTCCAGAAAGAATTCTGGGCTGTAGAAACCCTAAGTTAGGGATTTAGACTCTATCTAGACAGAGAATGACAATGGATGATTAGAAAGTACGGTGTAGATAGTATAGATGTGGTATTAGGTTGTATTTAATGTAGTATAAAGGGAAAAAGAGAAAAAATCGCTTGAGGCAACTGCAGAGAACACGGCAAAAGGAAAAGAAAAACCATTAAAAATTAATACATTGCTGAGACAGTTGAGAGGAAGACTGTCACTTCATGAGGGCTAGGGGAAAATTCTTAGCATGTCCTAAGGAAGCATGAAAGAATGAAATCTCCTTAGCTTGGATGGAAGTACACAAGATATGAGAATTACCACATTAAATCACTCCACCACTTTGAGGAAGCATCGATTTACTAAACTTGTATTTAAATTTTACTCAGCTGTTGATATCCTCCTCATCAATTTAAATAGATTAATCTTTCTGTAACTACTAACTGCCATAAATATAATACTGGAAAATTCAAAATTCATTAATTCAGACAGAGCTTTAAGCCTTCTTCATTAACATTAAGATTATTCTGCATGATAAAACCCAATGTCTTCATGGACAGTCAATTATTCTCCTGTTCTTGTATTTGTGCTCGTGGGTGTTACAATGTGGCAACCTTACATGTTGAAGATGACAAAAAAACACCCTACACCTTAAGGAATTAAAAATGTTTATCAGAAAATGCTGATTTGGTACAACTAAGATATTTTGCAGGGCTATGTTGATCTGTTGAAAGTGTACATGTGGCTCTTGGGGACACAATTTAGTGGTGGACTTGGCATTGCTGGTTAATGGTTAGACTTGATCTTAAAGGTCTTTTACAGCCTACGTGATACTATGATTCTATGGTTCTATAAAGACATGTAAGTGATAACAGAGACAGTATCACTTTCACGGAAATAGGGGATAATGGAAGAAAGTCAATAGGAAACATCAGTGTCAATGCTCCTGGGGAGAGGGGGTGGGCAGGTGGTGTAAGATGGAATAAAAAGGTTTATTTCCATATTCTAGAGCTATAAACTCTAAGCAGAAATAACCCCTTGCCTTTATGTGAAAAAAAACTTCTTAAGTTTGAACAGTATGACACTAACAAAAAAAACCCCACAGGGCAATATTATTTTGAAATGCACTAAATTGATTTCTTGTCTTCATTTCCTACTTTATCTTTTAAACTGTAAAGAAAGAACATTAATTATTATATGAATATTACTATATTTACTATTTTATAGGCTACTGCTTATTAATATAATGTAATTTAATTCTAAAATACACAAGAATAAGATATTAATTTTCTCAATGAGAGGACTGAAGCCAGCAAGATTCATTAACTTCCCACATACCCTATCAAGCAAGGACAATTCTCCTTCTCAAAGTCTAACAGAATGTTTATTCATACCCTCAGATTGTCTCCTACTTAACTTACCTTCTGAGCAGAAGTGTTAAAATCAAACACACATCCTCACATTGCACTTCAGCATTAGCTAGGCAAACTGAAAACTTTTCCATAGAACAGAGCACTAGAAAATCACAGACAATACTCAGACAATACTTTAGGAAATGTTTATAAATGTCAAACAAGTAGAAGTACAAGTAGTAAACTGCAGAAAGGGTGACATAGTATGTTTGTCCTTAAAAATATTGATCCCCTCTGCCCTGCCAGCTTTCCTTCAAGAAAAAAAAAAATGTGTAGAGGTGGGGACATGGTTTTGTGATGAACACAGCGGTTGGCTGAACTCAATGATCTTAGAGGGTTTTTCTAACCTTAACAATTCTGTTTCTATGAGTCTGCCATGACAACATTGTTAGTTATAAAGCAATCAGCTCTTTGCCAGCCAATAAACTGCTACAAAGTGGGTTTCACTCTCACCAATGCCACCTGAAGGTATAAAACCCTACCAGAACAAAATGCTGATGTTCAGTACCTCTGTAGCAACAATGTCTGCAAAATATGCAGGTGATTTCTGAAATAATATTAAAGAGGATGTAATTGGAGTATGCGTTCTTTCAGGGAGCAGTAGTTGTCACGAAGGGTTAAGCTGAGCTTCAGTTTCATACACTTAAATTTAAGAATTTAGTTGCCTAATCATATTTACTTACTGTCATCTGAAATACCCTTGTACATCCTGCCTGGCCTTCAGCTGCCATGATCAAAGGAAGCATCTCTTGTAGATACAGAGATATCATGTGGTGTCTCACATACCCTAAGGTGTTTCGCATGCAGCTGGATGCTAATGTTTTAGCATGTGAACTCAGCCACTATCCATGGTATTCCATGGAGATGAGTGACCTGTTAAGCTCACCCTACAGCAGACATTTGGTCGGCACAAGAGGTCTCCATGTAGCAGGTCTAGGTGTCCTCTTCATGCTCCAGGATGCATTGGCTGTGGACTGGAAGTTCAATTCAGCCATCTGAACATGAGCATCTAAGACCTGTCAGTGACCCTGTGGGGTATCTGTGGCACTTTGCTGGTTATGGTTTTCCCCAGGCATATGCTCTTCTTAGAGCAGAGAGAGTCTGCTGCTATTTTATTCTACCCCATGGGCCAGAAAATGTCTGACTGAAATAGTGTTGAAACATGCTAAATTGTAGGAAAATGACAATTCTTGAAGTGTTGGATTAGATTAGCTTGTTCTTAGATTTTTTTCCTTTGTCCTGAAATATCATAAATAATAGACTTTGCTCTCTGCTAGATTATATTTTAGTTGAAAACTGTTAGGTTTTCTTACAAATCGTTACTGCACTTTTCATAATTCACATAAGGAGAAATAAAATCAAATAGTTCACTATATTGTACATAAAAAACCACAAAATGTTCTTTGTGTATTTTAAGCCGGGGTCATCTGTTTCTTATCATATGAACTCTTCAAAATTTATTTCACACTGATCTTGTTTTCTATCTAAAATGTTTAAAAATTATCTCAGTATGCAAAGTACTACAAATGTATCCTTCATGCTAATAGTACAATTTAAATCACAATAATTTATCCTTCATGCTAATAGTATCATTTAAATCACAATTTTAATAAATTAATTTGAAGCAAAGTAGGCATGAATCACCTCTCACTTATATTAATTTTACACTGAAATAACCTCAGTGACCTTATGTATTTGCTTTTGAATTGTACTACAGTGTACAAAAGAAACAGGCAATATGTCTTTCTACAATATCTGCTGAAGTAAATAATTATCAATGCAGTGTAAAGATTCACATTGGATGAGTCAGAATACATTCTCTAGCTCATGTATGAATGATTTTTACTTTGAGCAGAGATAGACCTTTTCCAAATCAGTTAACAATTACGCAGTTTTCTATATCTTTGTTAAACATGCTTTTCTATTAAAGTTTAGCATCCCTTGGGCAAACAATAATTATTTGATATGGTTTCCTGGTTAAACAAAGTTGTAATTTCAATTAGGTTAAAAAGTAAAAAAAACTAAGATAAGACCCTCAGGCGTAAACAAAATTTATTAACATAGTTATTATAACTTAACTTTGGCTTTGAAACACTAATCATATAGTTACTGCCATATTTATAGTCTTACACAGTGAAATAATATGAATCTATTCATTAAAATCAAGACCTCAAGATTTCAGAGGACCAATAATTAGCAAAAGCCAAACTTGATAGTTGCAATCTGGTAAAAATATTAAAAATATATTTGAAAACAAGTTACAGAATAATTTTAATATTTCCTTTGATGGACTCTTCTGCTTAAAGAGAAATCACACCTTGATCCATTTTAATGCAACCTTACACCTAGAAAATGAAGGTTGAATTTATCAGGCCATATGAAAGGAAATAGCTTGTCATGTGATAACTTGAACAGGAGCCAGCAGCGTGCCCAGGTGGCCAAGAAGGCCAATGGCATCCTGGCCTGTATTGGGAACAGTGTGGCCAACAGGTCCAGGGAAGTGATTCTTCCCCTGTACTCAGCGCTGGTGAGGTCACACCTGGAGTACTGTGTCTAGTTCTGGGCCCCTCAGTTCAGGAAGGATATTGAGGTGCTGGAGCAGGTTCAGAGAAGAGCAACAAGGCTGGTGAAGGGACTCAAGCACAAGTCCTGTGAGTAGAGGCTGAGGGAGCTGGGCTTGTTCCGTCTGGAGAAGAGGAGGCTCAGGAGAGATTTCATCACTCTCTACAACTCCCTGAAAGGAGGTTGTAGCCAGGTGGGCATCAGTCTCTTCTCCCAGGCAACCAGCAGTAGGACAAGAGGGCACGGTCTTAAACTGTGCCAGAGGAGGTTTAGACTAAACATTAGAAAGAAATTCTTTACAGAGAGAGTGATCAGACATTGGAATGGGCTGCCCAGGGAGGTGGTGGAGTCACTGTCCCTGGAGGTTTTTAAGAAGAGACTGGATGTGGCACTTAGTGACATGGTCTAGTTGACAGGGTGGTGTTGGGTCATGGGTTGGACTCGATGATCTCAGAGGTCTTTTCCAACCTGGTTGATTCTTTAATTCTGTGATATATGCTACACACATAGTAGAAATACAGTGGCTTTCACTTTGTAAGATAAAACCATATAAAAATATCAGAGAGAGCCCAAAGTTTTCACAAATCAAACTCATTACAACTCACACTGGAATATTTAGAATTTTTTCAGCCTCAAACAGTGTGCAACGGAAACATTAAATAATTCAGAAAAAGATGCATCAGTTCCAATCACTAATGGCTTTAAAATAAAATAAACACAGATATATTTACATATTTATATATATATATATTATTTTGCTTTCAAAAGTTCTTACTGATTATTTATTGGAAAAGGTCAGAATATCTTCATATTTCTGTTTCTTAATGAGGTAAAAATGGAGCTTGTATTCACACATAATGATGTATTTAAAAATGCCATTTTTATTGTGCTTTTCTTATGGGTATTATTTGAGCATTTCTGAAATGGTTACAAACCTGTGACTCGAAGCTTATCTGTGCCAATTACAACCTCATTTTCATCCACTGTAAAAAGTGGCTTTCCATCCTTTGAGTTGATCTGAAATTGCTGACCGTGGAATTCTACCATTTTAGGACCTGCAAAGCACAGTAGAATAATGAAATAATGACATCATCTTTCTTCAATTTTCTATATAAATGGCTAATACTTTTAATTGGTGTCTTAATAATTTAGTGACCCATTTAAGTACACTAAAGATCATGAGGCATCCAGATATTCTAAGGATAGTTGCCCTCTAAGTACTGAAATTGGATAAGTCTATTTACATGATCTAATTTGTTGTTCAAAACTGTGCCTGTAGTCATGCTTTATAGTTGGTTTTCCAGGGAATTTAGGAAATCTCTTTCAAATTGATCAAGACAAGCATTCATGTTCTTGGTGTTGAAACAACTTTGATCAGTATGAGTCTAGCATATTTTTCTTTTTTTTGAAACACAGAAACTAATTATCGAAGTCTTTGCAGCATCATCCTTTTTGACTAGGGAGGTTCAAATGATTTAAAATTACAAACGTCCCATGATAAGAGCAGGACGCTCAGCTCTTCAAAACAAATGTCAGTTTAGCTGCACATATCCAGCAAATATTACTGATTATGTTCTTAAAAGAGTTTCAAGAAACTATGAGAGTATTTGCAATTGATTCTGGTACTCCAAAAGTTAAAATAATTGTGCACAAGAGAATCTGCATATTTCGAGATCCTAAATTCACTAAAACATCATGTTCTACACCATTGGCTTGGTAAGTGGATAAAAATCAAACCTGTTATATTCCCTTTTCTAACAACCTGATGAACTAAAAATTCACACCATGTAAGTTTGAATATCTATTTCATGGAGTTGTCATCTAAATCCATGTTCAGAATTAAAATTACAGAGAATGCTCAAAGCAGTTAAGACTCCTTTTCAGCAACTTTTAATAAAGGTATTTCACAGACTATCCATGGAACCAAGAGACATTGAACTGCTTCCTTCCCATTAAGAACCTGTCTTACCATGTCTACTGCCGTAAGTGTTAAATATATTCCAGGCAGTAATTCTCAAAAAAATAGGAATTTTTCTTTTTGTTAGACCTTATGTTAAATTAGATCAGTTGCTTAGAGCATGGTGCTAACAATGCCAAGGTCACGGGTTTGATCCCCATATAGACCACTCACTTAAGAGTTGGACATGATGATCCTTGTGAGTCGCTTCCAACTCAGAATATTCTCTGATTCTCTGGAAATGGCATTAGGTGACAGATGATTGATAGTGCTAAAAAGAACATGCAGGTATTTCACAAAATCTGCATGGTAGCTGGTACAAGAGATGCATACCATAAGGTTCCAAACAAATTCCTTATTGTTTCAGCAGATACAAAGTAATTGCTTTTAATAGCCCACCAAGTATGGAAAGGGTTATAAAAGCCATAATGTCCTAAACCAGGGCAATAATTTTAAGGCGTAAACCCCAATATTGATTCTACTTGAAAATGGTCAGGATAGAGGGCTGAACTCTGCATTATGTTACGCTCTGTTGCACATGTGCACCCAGGCACAGCCTTACGGACCTCATTTTAGCTCTTCTCTAAAGCCACTATGAAGCACATGACTTAATTTCCGAGAAGTATGTTGCAAAAAGTAATATCAGGAAATATCTTCGTTCAGTGATAAGGTATTAAACAGTATTTTTTTTAGAGCAAAAGAAGAAGCTCTGGGCAAGTGAGGCAATTTTGTCAATGCCTTCCTAGAAAATCTTGGCTAAGGTATTTTATTTAAGGTCCCTTCCAACCCAGGCTGTTCTATGATTTTGTGATTGTTCCCGTTTGTGCCCAACAGCATTAACAAAACCGGCTATTTATGTAGTGTAGCCAGATCCTTCTGTATTCAAACAGATCAAAGGCATGAATAAACTGGGCATTACCAACTTTACTGGTGTTGCAGGGGCTGGTTCCTCATTCTTCCCATTCATCTAATTCCATGATTTTTAAAGCCAGACTTAATCAAGGAAAAACTCCACAAGAGAGCACTCACTGAACATTATATACTTTCCAAAGGAGCCTTAACTTGTCTCTCTTTGAAACTACAACTCATGGCTTTGCCCGTGTTGGGTTGCCATCCAGATTTCCTTCCTGTTTGATCCTCGACCTTGCACACTTCAATAAATTTTTAACAAGAATATTCAGGTCCACAGTTTTCTCAAAAAAAATGCCCCTGTAAAGTGGGACAATGACTGTCCTATAGATAACCTTCATTATCAGAGAATAGTATGGATAATAATTGATGTATTTTATATCTTTAGAGGGAATAGTAGGGTAAAAAAAATTCAAGTGTATGTTTTATTCATGCTAGAGATGAGACATCTCAGTACATGTGGAACAAGTTTCAAAAAGGAATAATAGGCTTTTACACAAATGGGAATAAATTTATGTAATGAAAAGTAGCCATTAATCTCTCTTAGTTGTATTCCACAATACACATAGACTAGCTACATTGCAATAACACTAATTGTATTGTGATCCCAGTGAGGTTAATTTTCAACTCATAAACAGCAGCCAAATTCAATATCTGAAACTTTAATCTCCTAATGCCTAAATATGTTTTGTTTGCCATCCTAGTATATTAACTACATGTAAGTCAACTAATACTATATAATCGTATTTATTGATAAAATCCTACAATTAAAAATGCAACCTGACTGAATGCAGGTTATAGAAAAGTATTCGTTTTCCACTTACTGACAGATGTGTCTTCCAAAAACAACTGACATAATACTAAACGGTCTTCCTTTTCATTTTTCCTCCTCACTCTTGACTCCCCTAGGGGTTTTCTAGGGAAGGAAGGTCTTTTATTTACTGAGTCCATTTCAGTTGACAAGCATTTAAATAAACTGCCTTCTACTACTACTCAACCTTTGAATTCCAGGCCAGTACAAGTACAGACGTACAAGACTGAAAAGTATCTTCTATCAAAAACGGGGCTTGCCATAACATACCTATTCACAAATGCTTAATGGCAATGAAATTTGGAGAGCCTGAACTTTGAAGAGCCTGCCTACATGTTACTAGTACGCAGATTCTTCAAATACAGTTAGTTCTGCCAAATATATATTTATATATACTTTAATATATACAAGTAAACTTTTAACATGTCTTCAGATCTTTCAGAAGAAAAGGCTTTCCAACACTGGATTTATTTGTTCGGATCTTTTATTTTCTTACTCTCTCTCGTTATCCATCATTTCTGATAACCTATGGCTGTCAGCTATTCTGTATGCTTTGCTCTTCTCCTACAACCTAGAATCATCAAAGTGATGAATATAAACCAAAATCCTGAGCACTTTGGGGTACTCCTATGCAATTTAATTTTTAAGCTAATTTTTATTAAATTAAAGCACCTTACTTAAAATAAGATATCATTAAAAGTGTATTAAAAATATAATACTCCTACAGATTCAATTCTCATTCCACGAGTAATACAATACAATAGTAATACATGTAAAGTCATTACTTGCAGAAACATAAAATTAGTCATATTTTCATATGGAATGGTATGCAAGTACTTCATTAGTATTGGTATTTCGTTAGAACAAATGCATTATTACAGAAAATACGCAGCATATTGCATATATATATTTTATGTCCATGTCATACATCACTCCTTGCCTTGAAAAACAACTGTAATATATTAATAGAACACTTGCCTCTCCTGTTTCCTCTTTTTCTCTCAGTTCTCCTCTTATGCAATGGATGAAACAATGATGTCCCCTCAGATAAACGTAAGAATGCTTAACTGTCAGTGCTGCTTATACTTTGTTGTTCTCTATGATTGAACACAAGTCTAGAGATCTTAAAAAACTGGTTCTCAATGATGGTTACAAACACTGATCATGTAGACAGTAGCAACCCAACTAATGTTAGGTATGTAGGTGATAGCACTTTCCACTCTCAGAGTGATTTAGCTAATGCAATGTCTTTATCCATCTAGGCATTAGCCATATAGAATACTCTATTTAAATATAGAAACAAGAAACCCATGCAATATTTCATTGTAAAATGGGCTACTGCATGTAGAAACTTCGGCAGGAACAGATCATATTTCTCACACAATGACTTGACAAAAAGGCTATGGTGTCACCTTTTTGCTCAGGCTTAATGAACCCAGAATTTGTTGTATGATATTAACTTCAACAGGAAAAGGTGAAACATACAGTCCTCAGACAGATAAGGTGAAAAGGAAAGTAGTAAAGGAGATGAGGCATGGTAATTTGAAACCCTGTATGAAGAAAGGACAGCTAATGTGAGTCTCTCATTCCTGAGCAAATACTTGAACGACTCTATTTTCAGTATAATGGATATTTTCCCTCCTTTTCTTTAAAAAAAAAAAAAAGAAAGCCATGAGTGCATTTTCATAAGGTCAGCTTCTGCACTGTGATTCATACCTAAGCATATCTACTGGATCTGGGCAGAGGACAATGTGAGAGGATCAGTTAAACAGGTGGGGAATGACTGAGTTGATAACGCAACTGTCTAGTCCATTTACATACTTCTGTGTTCTCTGCCTGGCCTTCAGCTTATTTTTGATGTCCTAGTGTATCCAGGACTTCTACATCAGGTTAGAAAGTCTGACATGGGGTCTGTAAGCAACATGAGCTCTTTCAGAGAGTTAGCTGAAGACTGGGCAAGATGGAACCACAGAAGAATGCAAGCCAGAGGTCACCTCTGGAAGTCACCTGGTCCCACCTACTGATCACATCAAGGTCAGCTTGCTTGGAAGTTAGATAAAGGTTCTCAGGGTCTTGTCCAGACAAAATTTTAATACGTCTGAGGAAGGGAATTTAACAGCCTCCCTGGATAATGTTCCCATAGTTAACCATTCTAACAGTGATATTTCCCCCCACAGTTTATCCAGTTGCATTTTGCTTCCCTGCAACCCATGACCATTATTGTTTTTTGCCCTTTTGTTGTGCACCCCAAGAAGAATCTGGATTCATACTAGTGAAAGGACAAGGTGAAATAGCCTCAAGTAGCACCAAGCGAGGTTCAGGTTTGACATTACAAAAAATTTCTTCACTAAAAGAGTGGTTAAGCATTGGAACAGGTT